GGCAGCAGCAATGGCACTGCCAAGGGCCATATCCGGCAGGATTTGGGCTGCCAGGGGCCAGCCAAGGACCAGGCACAGCCCCTGCCCCGGCGTGGTGCCATGACGGTGGCACACGTAGTGGTGGCACAGCCCAGCTGTCCGCTGCCCTGAGGGGGTGAAAGGGCTGGAGTTGCCACTCTGGCACAAAGAGCCCTGCCTGCAGGATCCCTCCTGCCGTTTGCCTCGACCCTGGCACCGCTCCCGCTGCGTGCGTGGCACTGCCGACGGCTCCACAGGGCCCAGCCACCCAGTTCTGCTCCACTCCATGCCCTCGGGCTGGGCACAGCGGGGCAGCCTGGCCTCACCAGGAGTCCTCTGGGGTGCTGGTACAGGGTTGGGGTCACCCTCACCCAAGCCCTGCTGCCCCAAGTCAAGAGAGGGCCCTTGCTGGGACCCCAGTGCCGAGGTTTGGGTGCCCCTCGAGTGCTGGGGGATTCCAGAGCCCTGGTAGTGTCTGTGGGAAGGGGATGTGTGGCACAAGGCTCTGCCTTATCCTGGGATAGCTCTGGCCAGCCTGGTCAGTGCTGGGCGATTCCCGCTCTCCAGACAAAGGTGTGAGGTCCTGGCATGGCTGGACAGCCCCAGGGCCACGGCTCTGCCCCTGCTGGGCACAGGCTGGCACCGGGCCGTGCCTACCTGCCGGGCTGCACGCACTCGGCACCGCGTGGCACCGCGGCCTTCGCTCCCAGCCAAGGACTGCACGACTCCTCTTCCTCCCCCAGCTCGCACGGTGACGTCAGCCCAGGCAGGGGCCGGGGCACTCCCGGGTGTCCCCAGCCGAGAAACCATAAACAGCTCGTCACGAGTTTGCCTCTGGCCAGCCCCACCTGCCCCATGCCACGCACCGCCGCTGTTTACAGCACGGAGTGGCTTCACCTTTGTCCTGCTGGTACGGGCACCAATCCCAGCCCACCATCACCTGCTCCTGGTGCCGTGGCCATGGCTGTGACCACGTGTGCCACGTACACAGCACCACTGGCACCCCCAGTGCCCCACTGTCCCAAGGGAAGTAATGGGACGCTCTCCAGC